TTAAAGAGACATACTAAAAAAAGATTGTATCTATGACAATATTTTCTAAAAGAAATAACCTATTAGACAAAATTTTAAACTAAAAAGTAGAGTCTTATGGAGTACATCCTACTAGGCTACGGCACTACGCCACTCTTGCTTTTGCTAAATATGACAAAGAGATGACCAGATAGACGAGGAAAATAGCTACAGTTATTAATTAGGGAGAAAAAAAATGCAGCCGTATACATACATATACACGTATGGTGCAGGCGTGGCTAACCGTCGACTCACGCACACGTACTACGTACGTACTGACGGCTTGACCGGGCGCCCTGTGAGATGGAGTACTAGCCAAGAACAACCACGAGTCCACAAACAGCCGCGCGTGTCGCGTGTGGTGCAGTGCACGCTGGATGTGCCAGACCATCCAACAAACCAACACAAAAATTAATACTGATGATAATTTTGACTATATATCTCGATAATATATATCCAAATTTATAGTTAGAAATTATTATATTTTTGAAAAAGAAATTATTATATTTCCTAAAAAAGAGAAATTATCATAGTTTAAAACGGAAGCACTCCCTCCGTTTCATATTACAAATCACATTTGATTTTTTTCTATCAAACTTTTTTAGGTTTGAACAAATTTATAGAAAAAAATTGGTAACATCGACAACATCAAATTAGTTTTCTCAATTAATATATATATATATATATATATATATATATATATATATATATAATACTGAATATATATTTTGATTATTGCTATACCTTATAAAATCAAACTTACAAAAGTTTAATTAAGAAAAAAAGTAGGATAACTTATAATATAAAACGGATTAAGTACCAACTCGATTAGCACGTATTACAAACATACAAGAGGCTCGAAAATAGCCTGATGCACGTGCGCACCACCTACATACACCAACGAAAGACCCCAGAACTACGTATGCAACTTACATGCCCCGTTTGTCTTTGTACCCGGACACACCTATAGCCTCACTCAGTGGCATAGTCGGTATTTTCTCATACCTAGGACTCAACTAGTATAATTTACATAATTTATATTTTTCTTTTATAATTTTGAGGTTTTAGAATGTAAATTTTAATGGATTTTCTTCATTGGTCCCACTTTTTCGCTGTTTATTAGCTACGAAAAATAATTATATTATTTATTTAGAAAGTAATACCGGAGAATTATAAAATATCAAAATCAACTACAAAAATAAGAATTAAAATTTGAATTTTTGCTTGGTTGATAGGTTTATGTATAGTATGCATGCCGAATTATATTAACACGAATCGAGGACCAAATTGAACAAATTAAGGGCCTGTTTAGATTGATAACATTTTTAACCATACCATTATTTGGTAAAATTGATAATTATGTGGCTATGTTTAGTTGTTACCAAATATTGGCAATGTGTATAGAATTTTGGCAACATTATTAAGCCAATCCTATCAAAATTTTAGCAATATTGTAAATTTGCAAAAATTTAGTATTGACAAAATTTGGTAAGGTTTATTTTGTCACTAATCTAGTTCACGCTAAAATTAGAAGTTTGATTGAAATTGAAACGATGTGATGAAAAAGTTAAAAGTTTATGTGTGTTGGAAAGTTTTGATGTGATGAAAAAGTTAGAAGTTTGGAACTAAACAAGGCTAGATCCTAAATCAAAGGGCACAAGAACGAAAGAAAGTGTAGGTACGGCAAGTCGGCGAGTTTGACGTCTCGAAGCTGTTCCGTTGACGCGAGCACTCAACCGTCCATTCTCTTTAATTTGCTATTTTCTCTCACTCTCTCTCTCTCATGTCCGACTCCATACGCCGACGACGGCCGACGTCGTCGCTGTCGGGAATTTATGTGACGGCGAAGGGGCCAGCGAAATCTAACGAAAAGATGCACCGGTAAAGAAGGGGCCCCGTCGCTGGCTGCCTGGTTTTTACTACCCTACTAGCAGCTTTATTAATTTGTCGACACCATCCTTGTCAACCCCTTCATATCCTTTTGTACGTGCGCTGATTCGCATCGAAGTCGGAAGTTGGTATACAGGATTGCTTTAATAGGATTATTATTAGAACATGTAAAACAAGTAAGAAAATATAGATTTAGAGTATATAATACTCCCTCCATTTATTTTTGATAGTCATATTTTCAAATCTGAAAAAATTGTTTTTGATAGGCATATTTCAATTCAACAACTTATCATCTTAGGCCCTGTTTGATTCAGCTTAACGTTATTATAATCTGGATTATTAGGAGTAAGCTGAAACAGACAAGTAGATTATTATGATATATTATTATAATCTATAAGCCAGATTACTATAATCTAATAATCTCCTGTGGAGGAGCTTTTTTTAGATTATTGAGTGGCTAAAGACCCACTATCCTCAGATGCCTCCAATAATTCAGAGAAACAAATAGCTCGCAGCTTATTCTATGTCAGCTTATTACAATCTAGCTTAGAGTAATCTGATTTAATAATCTAGATTACAATAATTTTAAGCTGAAACAAACATGGCCTTAATGACTTCCTCGAATTTAATGCATGACTCTCCATTCTTCCACACAAGATTGGCTATATGGGCATCGAGAAATGTAAATATTAATGAATCGCTTGTTTACGAGGAATGACTAGTAGCATGTTTAAATAGATGATAAGTAGAATTACTTATCCTTGATCTGTGTGACAAGATGAAATATGACTATTAAAAGTAGATGGAGAGAGTAAAATATAAGTTGAAACGTCCGAGAAATCAGAAAAAGGATATAGACGTAAATAATTTCTTTTTTCTCTTACGGTTGGACCTCATTTAATATATTCTCTCCAAATCCTTGTGTTTTGATCTAATCCAATGAAATTTCGTTGGATTTTTTTAGCTGTTCTATGATTCAAAGGACCAAATAGAGAAATTTTCTGTATAATTAAACTCCTTTGTTGCAAGGGCCTAAAGAGGTTCCGCACCTTGAAACTGTAATTGTAAGACATATAAATAATAAAATAAGTGTATTGGGCTTACAATGGCAATCAACTCTACCATATACACGCAAAAGCATAGGAATAAGCATTGACCAACCTAGCATATACTCTAGCATATCATCCAATTAGGCCGACAAAACTTGAGAATATTGTCCTCTCATTTCAAATTACTTATCGTTCTAATAATTTCAAATAAAATATGAAGCGATCATAACTTACCGATATACCTCTATTAATTACAACAGTAGTGTTAGTTTTTTTTTAACTAAAAGTGATGTGGATGACAATGAGAGGTGTGGATGAATTGTGAGCGATAGTGATGGGATATTTTATCCAAAAAATGGTTTGAAATGTAAGACTAACAAGTATTTTAAGACAGTGGGGGCACATCAGAATCTTAGTGTGATTTTGAGTTTGAGTTAAATGTATATGGGAGTCTCAAAGTTTGGTTCTGTCATGCCTAAACCGCATAAAATCCAATTGACCTTTGAGTGGCCCCCACGAGATACTTTCCTTTGCTTCTCATATCTACACATCTCCTGTTCCTTTTTGCTTGTTGCGAGTCCAATTAGCCTACTGGCTTTTTCATTACTCAATCAACATTCCCACTGATACTACCAAAACTAGCTAAGCAGTAAAGGTAATGTAGATACTCCATTAATTACGCTTGTGAGTTCCAAGGCGCCACATTTTTTTTTCCCTGAAACCAAAAAAATATGTATTTATTTAATTTTCTTCCTGCATGCCATTGTGAACACAAGGAAAGAGAACAAAAGTTAGAGCCGAAAGAAACACGGCAGAATCGTTTTGCCCCCTTTTGCCTGCAGGTTCCTTTCCCATGCAACCCCCTTAAACATTGAAAATATTCTGTTTTGCACTCTAGTCCTTCAGTCTCGTCCTTTCTCTTATGCTTATACTTATTAACCAAAATTTAAATTTTTAAACTTAAATTTAAAGCTAATTTTAGGGTTATTTTAATCGAAATTTATTTTTCAGCATTTATTTTTAAATCACTAAGAACACACACACACACACACACACACACACACACATATATATATATATATATATATATATATATATATATATATATATATGCTTTATTTAGAAATTACTTTCGTTTGCAAATATACTGTTTGGTTTATTCCACAAATAAGCCAAACAATGGGGTCGTTTTTTTAAAGATAATAGTCCTCTAGGCCTTGATGTCATTTTTCGAATGAACAAATTAACATGTGGAGAGTATGCTTGAACAAATTAACACGTTGAAACATATTTTGAGGGAGATACAAATTATCATATCCATGTGATTTAGCCAATTTTCATTCATGTTCTTATACTCCTACAGGATTCACCTTTGTCTCTGTCAAGTTAATATTTAAACCTTGTTATATTGGAGAAGCATATTTTTTGTGGTGTTACGACAATGTTCGGAGGTGAAGGTTGGGAACTCCATCTTCCCGTTCGTAAAACGGAACAATCCATTAGCGCATGCTTAATTAAGCATTAACTAAAATAAACTTAAAAATTAAAATTAGATGAATATGAATTTTTAGAACAACTTTCTTATAGAGAAATGAGGGAGTATAACTAAAGTTGGGAAAGTTGATAGCCGAACTAGCCTAAGTAAGGTTGCAAACTATCCTCCATTCATTGATGATGCTCATTGGATCCGGATGCCCATAGTTACGCACACGCTGATGCGTTTCCTAATACTAACACAACGATGCTTTAAATGTATCAACGGGATCTGTCTCCTAAGTAATGACAAACTGAGAAGGTTATCGTATATGATAACCGCAATAATCGTTAAACTATGGGATGACGGTAACCCCATCTAAAACGGTTTGGGGAACCCTGCCACCGTAATCAATACCAAAAAACGACAAGGTCAACTGTGCAAAACCCCACCCCCCCCCCCCCCCTCAATTTTACAACTTTGTCCCGGCTAAACAAACTCCCCATCCCCCGTCAACTTTCACACGTACGCAGGCGGCCGTGGAAGCAAGCAAGCAAGGAAGCAGAAAGGAACCCAACCTGACCTGAGAGTCACAGAAAGCAGCCACACAGATGAACAGATACACAGATACAGAAAAAACAAAACAAAAACAAAAAGTTGTTACATACTACACGAGCAGTATTAATTCTTTGCTTCTGCTCCCCGTTGCTTTTGCTCTTCGTCAGATTAATCCTTTCCTTCCTTAGCTCCGCGGATTTGTTCACCATCACCACCATCACCGCTGCTACTTGTTCCTCCATGCCCAAGAAAAGGATTAATTGACCTAGCTAGCTACCTTTTCCCTCTTCCATCACATATAAATATATAAATATATATATAGCTCTGCTACTTTAGAGAGAGAGAGGGAGAGATGTGATTTGAGCTTGGCGGTGAGCGAGAAAGGGAGGCCAGGTTTTGGAGGTTTGGATTAATGGCGAGAGAGACCTGAGGAAGAAGAAGAAGAAGAAGAAAGGTGCTGAGCCGGCCACTCCTGTCCTGTGCTGCTACAAAAGCTGGAGGAGGAGCTCGGATTGCATATGGGAGAAGGAGATTCTCGGTGAGTTCTCGCGGCTCTTCCTGATCGGAATTCTCATTGCTCTGTTCTGTTCTCTGCTCTGTTTCTTGAGGTTTTGACAGCTCGAGTTCTTGTTCTTGTTCTTGATCTTTCGAAAAAGTAATAATGATCTCGAGTTCTTGGGCGGTCAATGGATTTTATTTTCATTTGTTGCCTGATGAACTATACAGATGTTGTTCCTACGTTTTCTTTGCTCAGACCTTACAATGAGAAGAAACTGATTATTACCAGGATCATGTTTCTCTCCTCTTGTTTGGCTCTCTCTCTCTCTCTCTCTCTCTCTCTCTCTGAAAGTCTGAAAAATTATGAACTCTGGTGCATGTTTGATACTCTGCTAGTACATTTGATCGTTTTTCTCGGAGTTTTCAGATGAATGAACAATCTTTTCGATATGAATATCGATGATCGATTGTTTTCTCATTCCCAGACATTTTACCGATACCCCTGTTTTGCCCACAAATTCGTGTGGTCGTGTTGGTGTGTCTAAACGCCACTGTCAGTCAATCTCACAGTTTTCAACGGAGTTGAATTGAATTCCAATGTGAGCAGAAGTTTCACTCTGTATTCTCGAAAAAAAGCAGAAGTTTCACTCAGACTCGATACTAGTACTAGTAAGGTTAGGCACGTAAGGACGAAAAAAAATTCAGACGTTCAAAATGGGCCAGAAAAATCAAGCCATCTTTCTCAAAGTTAGTCCAAACAGACCGTGCAATACGTTTTTAGTTAGGCTGAGAAACAGACCTAGCATTCATACTAACCTTGCCCTAATCAGACTTGAAAGTGTAACTGTTCATCACCAATCACCATCATAGACAGCATTCCATTGCAGGTTGATCTGCAGTGCACTCTTATCATGCTGCAATGCATTATTCAGTATAGTATATCAGTTAACTGCTACAAATTAACCAATGGGCGTAGCGCAAACGGGAAATTTTTTTCGACCCTGCAAAATCACCAGCTGCTGGTTTTTACTCTTTCTTGTATTGTAAGTTCAGGTGTGAGATCGGAAACTAATGTTTTGGAGCTTTTCTGATGGCAGTTTACTGACATGGAATCGAGGAGATTGGAGCAGTTAGTGTTCCTGCTTTGCTGCTTTGCAGCAATCACATGCAGCTTGCATGCAACACAAGCACAAGCCCAGGGCCAAATCACTCAACACCACCTCAAGAAAAGCTCACCCCACAATGGAGCAGGTGAGTAACAATCCTCATCTTTCACCTTTTTGAGTAACATGAGCATCAAGTCCAGTTAAAATAATAATAGAGATGTCAAAAGAATATCCTGATGAACTGTCCTATATGAAGTTATTCTTGTCCGTACTCCGTAGTATGTTCTCCCTTTTTTATTTATATTTTTAGTACTTCTCTTGTTGACATTCTGCTTGTCTATGGTATATTATTCATGTGCTATGTTTTTACTGCTCTAGTTGCCAACTTGGCATTGTACTTGTCTGTAGTATAATCTTTGCTTCTGAATGGTCGTTGATCCTTGTTTATGTTGATCAGTGGGCAGAATTTTGTCAGAGATGACGAACAGATCGGATAGCACTCTTTCGAGAAGAATAAGAAGAGTCGATCCTCTTGACGGCTTAAGGAAGTATGAGGGGGGATACAATATCACAAACAAACATTACTGGAGTGTAAGTTCTCATCTATAAACACAAATATTCAGTCATATGCACTTCTTACTGTTCTGAGTTCCTGTCAAATTTATGATGGGACAAAAATTTGTATCATTGTCACAGAATAGTAGTTTGTTCTCAAATTAAAATTACTAACTGAATGCATGAAAAATCATTTCTTAGCCATAAATGTTGCTCCGAGTGTACAGAAAGTAACTTAATACATTGATATAAGTTGCATCAGACCAGAGAACTTAATATAATGAGAGATGGGGAAAAACTGATAGTTGTTATGCTACTTTTTCAGTCGACAATATTTACAGGTAGACCTGGATACGTTATTGCAGCATTATGGCTTATCGGTGGAATTATTTTTGTGGGAGCTCTCCTCATCTCAAAGATTTTCTTTGCGAAAAGGAACACCGGATATGGCGACATGAATTATTTCCTCGCAAGATTCCACATCTGTTCTATGATAATTTTCATTCTCCTTGCAGCTTTTGTCATGTAAGTTACTCACAAAATGAACAGCCATCACATTGTCAACTGCTACTACTGTTGCAAATCTGGCAACATATGTATCTATTCAGTTAGTAATCTAGTACTCGTTAATTGTGCAGAGTTGCATCAGCAATCGCGATTCGCGGTGCCGTGAGATTTCATTCAAGAGCAGAAGCTGTCAAAGAGATCATCGGCAGAACTGCGCTTGAGGCAACGGCGACAATCTACAACATAACAGAAGCCATTGAGAAGATGCAGAACACATCAAGGCTATATAACAATAACAGCCAAGCTTTTGATCATCTGAACTCAACCGTGAAGGCCCTCAACTCTGAAGCAGTGGAGATTCAGTCAAAGGCAGAGAAGAACATGCGTTTGGTCAGCAAAGGGATCAACATATTGTGAGAATTATACACATTTTCCACAGATTTGTAGTTTCAGAATAGTAGAAAACCACTTATAATCATGTGAACTCACACTGACAATGAATTTCAGGGAAGCTGTGACCATCTTAACTGTGACTCTGAATCTTTTCGCCGTTCTTGCGTTGCTGGGTAAGCAAAAACTCTCCAAATTTCCAGAATATTCAAATATATATTACTGATTAGTGATTGCATCTGAAACTAACAAAGTGATTTTGAATCTTTGGCTGCAGTAATGAGGCCCCTAAGGCTACAAAAATTGTGCAACCTGTGAGTATCATATCCTTCAGAACTCAGAAACCCATCCATTTCAAGCTAGTACAAACCAGTGAAACTTTAGTTTTCACACCATTGTAATCTAATTACAATTAACTGTCTGCAACAAATAGGTGCATAGCCATCTGCTGGATCCTGACAGCACTCATCTGGATGTACTTCGGCCTGTACTACTTCCTCGACGAGTTCGCCGGCGACACTTGTGCCGCGCTGGAGGAGTACCAGCTTGACCCCAAGAACAGCACGCTGGGCACCATCATCCCCTGCAGCGAGAAATTCTCCGGCAGCGTGATCCTGCACGACGTCGGCGCAGGCATCCACGACATCATTGATCAGGTGATTTGGAGAGTTTGTGTTTCTGAAGAGTCAAATTTTGTTTCTGAATGTGTAGTGAACTAGTGATTTAATTAGTTTCAATGTTAATGTTCAGGTGAATTCCAACATTTACACGATAAAGTCGGAGTACGGGGTGAAGCAGCTGGATTATATCTGCAATCCGTTCGCCGGCCCGCCGGAGTTCCGGTACCGGCCGGAGAATTGCCCTTCCGGCGCCGCCACCATCGGAGACATCCCTCAGGTAAGCTCTTCATCATATACTCTCTATGTTTCATATTATAAGTTGCATTGATCTTTTTCTTAATTTGACTAAGTTTATAAAAAATATAATAATATGTACAATATCAAATTAGTTTTATTAGATATAACGTTGAATATATTTTGAAATTTTTTTTATCTTATTTTCAAAATATTGCTAAAAGCTAATTATAATACAAAACGGACAGAGTATGATTTTTGGAGGAATTTCACGTGAACTGAACAAATTTCTGTAAAAAAAAACATGTAAAATTCATGTGTTTCATAAGAGCCATGAAAGATTCTGAACACAAAGAGGTTTCAGAACCCAAAGCTTGACACCGATGGAGCTTGCATTGTGTTTGATCCTAGATCCTGAGGAGGCTGACGTGCACGGACCTGGGCGGCGGCGCGCACTGCGCGCCGGCGGAGCTCTCGTCGGCGATCGACTACGGCAAGGTGGAGACGTACACGAGCTCCATCCAGAACATGCTCGACATCTTCCCGGGCACGGAGCGGCTGCTCACCTGCGAGCTCGTCGAGTCCGGCTTCGCCGACATCGTCGGCCGCCAGTGCGCGCCGCTGTCCCGCGGCGCCCGCGCGGCGTGGTCCGCGCTCGCCGCGCTCTCCGCGGCGACGACGGCGCTGCTCGTGCTCGCCGCCGCCGCCGCCGGCGTCGGCGGCGGCGGCGGCGCGCGGCACGCCGGCGACGACCGCCACTCTGTGAGGCACCTGACGTCGTCGTCCAACTCGGAGATCTCGGAGGCCGAGTTCGCCGAGATGCACGCCAAGAAAGTGCGAGTCCTCGCCATGGTCGATCGAGCGTGAGCTCAAACACACACCGATCGAGTTGTTTTTTGAGGTGTTCTTGGGCGATTTTGGAGGTTAAGAGGATTCAATTCATGGCGGTCGCCGCCGGCGGTAGAGACTGATCCAAGGAGAGATCGTCCACCGCCGCGCGCTCGCTCGCCGGCCGCCATTGTCGACGTGAAAAAGAAAAAGGGTTTTTGTTTTGTTTGTTTTGGGGGATGGTATGGAGAATCCAGCCATCCGCCCGCCATGGATGAATTTTGGTGATGGTATAGGAAAAGGAGGGAGGGGGGGGGGGGAATGATTAAATTTTTGTACATGAACTGCAAAAGGTTACGAAATTTGATTGAAATACAATCTATTCTTTGATCAATATGGTGTCCCTTCTCTTATTAGCTATTTTGAATTCGGGAGAGAGATGGATTGTTATCATGAACTAGGAAGAAAAAACTCACGCATCTACGCGAGCATCTTATTGTTTTAGAAAACCAATGCTAAAGAATTGCATCCCACCATCAATCAATCAATCAATCAATCATCAATCATTATATACTAAAAGTCCATTAAACTTCCTACAAACGCTCTCAAACCGCCATGTGGGACTCCTATAAACGCTCCTATGCTACCACGTGGCTCTCTAATAAATTGGTAGGCCCGCAATTTTCATTTATTAGATTTATTTTTAGAAAATAACCCCACAATCCACCTCCCTCCCCTCTCCCACCAGCCCACCCTCCTCCCCTATGGTATGTATGTACGTATCCTCCCCCTCCTATCCAATCTTATCATCTCTTTATTTCTTTTCAAGTTTATTACAATTAAAAATATTTTTTAAAATAATTTCCGTATAGAGAAATAATCATAACCTTTAAATTGCACTTATCGTTCTTCAGTATCGTATTCATAGTACTTAACCAGCATGCCCATGTATATATATGTACGATAAAAAAATAAATCCATATATAAAATAATAATGCCATGTATAAATTTTTTTTTAAAAAAATAAGTATGTCGCATCATCCAAAAAAAATCTAAAAACATAATTTTCTATCATACCACGGAATAAATCGAGAATCTCTAAAATAAATTTTTCTCCATATAAAAGTAAAATATATTATTTCACAAATATACATAGTTAAACTAGATCTATAATATAAATATCAAATCAACGTTCTATAAACGTTCACATTTTAAATATTTATAAATTATATATTCAATTTTGTGATCCTATTGTATCCTTTAATTAAAGGAACTATTGATGTATTATAAATGTTTGTTGTCCTAAAAACATCAGGACACAGGGACCGACGAATAGTAATTAATGAGTAGTAATTAATGTATGATATTTTGTAAAAACAATCTAACTTCATATTTTATGGTGCCAAAAATCACTTGACAAATATACAATGCCAATTTAAATCTACATCAGTAAAAAAATGAAACAACAAAATTTAGTTGTATATTTTCTCAGGTATAACTAATTTAATTTTAATTTGTTTGAGATTAAGATTCTCAAAACTATGTTTTTAGTTTTTCAGTACTACTTGATTTTATTTGATAAGTGACCAGCATACGTGGTACATAGATGTGAAAAAAATCACCAGAAATATTTTTAGTGAATAATCTTGCAATAATACAACCCCTTAATACATCACGAGATTTATGATCATATATGTACCTTTTGTTTCCTTTGCCAAATAGTTTTGACAACAAATAAGCAATCAAGTAAAGTGTACAATTAACTACCCATATTATATTTTCTTGTAAGTATACTCCCTCAAATTAGTTATTGTTAAAAAGTTTGAAAAAAATAAATAAATTCTTTAAATTAGTAAAGGTGTCTCATGCGATTATCAACAATAGTTGTTGAAAACAAACCAAATGCTAAACTATCAAAATATAAATATAAAAAGGTGCTCTAGAAATTGTCATGGTAGTATGTCTCTTTAGCTATATTTTAATACCGTCGAATGATTAATCTCGCACATTTTTTTTAAAAAAAGGATATTCTATCTATACCATAAATATTTGAGTAGTAATGATTAACACCATAAATAAATGGTGTCCACTCTATATCACAGATCTACTAAAAACTAAAACTTAAAAGAGAAACTATTTTGACCACCTTCATCTTTTCTTTATCCTTCCCTAAAAGGCACCAAACATGGACAATAAAGTTTACTACATTACTGTTAAGTATAGTAGGGCCATACATACAGCTCAGTTGGGATGGCCACAGTGGAGACCACCATCACATCAACTTAGTACTTACTGATTCAACACTCCAAGGTCGATTTGGTTGGGGGGGGGGGGCACAACTACATCGATATTTCGTAAAACAATAAATAAGATCCCGCGCATCTGCGCGGGCTTCCTTCCTAGTTTCTATTTAAATGTTACTAAATAATAAGAATATCTTTCAGATTAAAAAAGCACTTTACCGAGTAACATATAAATTCTTCTGGGGCTGATCTATTGCAGCCGCAGCAACAACACCAAACCTAACATAATTTTTACTGCTTGCACGGTACATACCACACAGTTGCAGCCGCAGCCAGCTGCAAAGTAGCACAAACGATCAGCCTCTCTGATGTCACCATTACTTACTACTCCCTCTGTCCTATAAAAAAACAATCTAGTACCGAATAAGACATATTCTAGTATTACGAATCTGGACATACATATGTCCAGATTCATCGTACTAGAATATGTCATATCCGGTTCTAGATTCGTTTTTATGGGACGAAGGGAGAGTATGCTTTAAAAGCTAAGTGAATTGCATATGTACTAGCCTAATACATCATTAATACACTAAAATATCCACTACTCCCTCCGTTTCACAATGTAAGTCATTCTAGCATTTCCTACATTAATATTAATGTTAATGAATCTAGACATATATATCTATTTAGATTCATTAACATCACTATGAATGTGGAAAATGCTAGAATGACTTACATTGTGAAACGGAGGAAGTACTTAGGCTTCATGTCTCACTTATTTCTAAATCCATATATAAATATTGCAAAAATACCACCACTTTTATTCATTAATGAGATAGCACCATTAAAATTAAACACGAAGGCTACTCTATTGGTTGAAGCCAATCATAGCCACCAAGACTTTTTTTCTCTGTTGCCTTGAAACATGGGTCCTGCATCGATGTAGCCATGCTCTTGAAGACCAGTTTGGAGCATAATTTTAATGCCTAATTCATTATCGCACTCTCATGGAGTATTGCATCGGTAAGTAGGAAATTGAGCGACCTTCAGTAGGGCCGTCTTAACTTAGCCATATGCTCCATACTTCCATGCTATACTTACGAAACCACAGTAAACTCTGTTGTCCATGTTTGGTGCTCTTTAGGGAAGGACAAAGAGAAAGTGGAGGTGATCAAAGTAGTTTTTCTAAATGTTTTAATTAGGTTTGTGGTATAGTGTTGACACAATTTGTTTACGGTGTTGATCATTACTACTCTATGATATAGATATAATACTCTCTTTTGAAAATGAGCGAGCTTAATCACTCAGCGATATTTAAAAAAGTTATAGCTAAAAAGACATACCACCACGATAATATCAAGGGCATCATATTATTATTTATATTTTGACTAATATGTATAGTTTAGTGCCTAGTTTGTTTTCAACACCTATTGTTCATAATTATATGAGACACTTTTACTTATTTACAACAACTAATCCATTGTGGTACGCTTATAGTCATGTTAGTGGAGTTTATGACATATATGCATCAATTATATCTGACATATTGAAATTCCTTAAGTATAAGAAAATATATCATAAGTAGTTTATTGTACCATGTTACTTTAGTGCTCATTTATGTCAAAACTATTTGGCAGAGAAAAGAAATATATGATCATAAATCTCGTGATAGATTAAGGGGTTGCATTACAGAAAGTTCATTGGCTGGAAATATTTTTTATATTTATTTTTCATATTTACTACCTCCAACCCAGAATATAAGTTTTTGATTTAGAGTTGGACACGATTGTTAAGAAAGTAGGTAGAATAAGCATGACTTACAGTAAAACCGTTTTAATTAGGAGGCGCCTACAAATCAGGTGCCTGATTCTTTTGTCAAAAATCGGTAGTTGTTTCACCAAGTAGATCGAAAATGTTTCACTAAATAGATCGAAAATGTTTCGATCTTTTTAAAAGCCGAAACACAACCAAATCACCTTATGAAACATTTTGGTACAACGTATGAAATACGGTTTCCAAAAAAAGGACGATGTTTCACCCTATATCAAAACAATGTTTCAGCAAATAGCGAAAGAATATTTCAAATTCTTAAAAAAAGTGAAACATGGTCAGATCGCTAGATGAAACAATTTGGTTCAACATATGCAACAAATGATTTAAAGCCATTGCAACACTTAAACCCTGTGTACATCAACAAACCACGTGTCTATCGGGATGAAATTATTTAACAACATCAAAAATCCACTGTAACATTTGATCCATACATAGTGAAACATCACGAGTACACTAGCTGAAACATTATTGATGGAACGAAAAAAATGAAACGAATCCCCCCTTAATAGGGTGTTTCCGTTATATTCGGGCGACTGTTGCAACGGGCGCATGTGGTGGGGCACGGAGCGCTCGATTTTTTCTCCCCTATCGGACACCCCCTATCGGACACCCGACACGGAGGATTCACGTTTTAATTATGGACATCTATTAACTTATTAAAGGAATAGAAAAAAGAGCCTCCACATTAACTCTCACGGCCTAAAAATTCTCATATTAATCGGAGAAAAAGAAAAACATAGTCCTTATAGAAATACAATTTAGAAATAGTTAAAATTCAGAATTAAAAAAATAAGGAATATTGGAAGAGGATACTAGAGTCCATATAGAAATACAATTAAGAAATAATAGAAATTTGAAATTAAAAATAAGAAATATTAGAAGTAGAATATAGAGTCCATATAGAAATACAATTAAGAAATAATAGAAATTCGAAATTAAAAATAAGGATGATTAGAATTAGAGTATAGAGTCCATATATAAATACAATTAGGAAATAATAGAATTTCGGAATTAAAAATAAGGAATATTAGAAGTAGAGTATAGAGTCCATATAGAAATACAATTAAGAAATAATAGAAATTTAGAATTAAAAATAAGGAATATTAGAAGTAGAGTATATAGTCCATATAAGAATTTCAAACTAACTAAAATTCGGAATAAACATAATAAAATTAAAAGTAGAGTTTAGAGCTCGTATAAAAATACAATTTACAAATAACTAAAATTCGAAATTAAAAAATACATGGGAAGAAGAGTCTAAAGTCAATATAGGAATACAATTTAGAAGTAACTGAAATTCGAAATTAAAAATTAAAGAATATTGAAATATGAGTTTAGAATCTACATAGAAATACAATTAGAAATAATAAAAATTCAGAATTAAAAATAAATAATATTGGAAGAAGAGTCTAGAGTCTATATAGAAATACAATTTTACTGATAACGAAAATTCAGAATTAAAAAAAGAAATATTGATAGACGAGTCTAGAGTCCATATAGAAATATAATTTACGAATAACTAAAATTTGATATTAAAAATAATTAATAACTAACACGTATATAAAATATAGTATGAATATTACCCATTAGTAGTTTCGTAAAGTTAAGTACAAAATTTAAAATTATGTTGTTATTTTATTATATTTGAATAATACGTTGAGAAAGCATATATGCTATGAGAGAAAATATAATGATGCCAGTCGCGCAATCTGCGCGGGCACTATGCTAGTTATTATATATATTCTGAGACAGCCTGCTTGGTTAGTTGGTTTGCTCCCCTCCTTCAAAAAAAAAAATAGAGCTATAGTGATGGGTTCACCGCTCCGAGACTGACCCGATCAGCCCAAAACCCGACCCGACCCAGCCAGGCCCGCCCCGGCCCATCCAGAATCCACCCCCACCAAAAGTCCAAAAACCACCTTCTTTCCGCACGGATCGGCGATCTCCTCCACCTCCACTCCTCTCCGACCTCCCTCCGCCGACCAGAAGCCATGGCCGCGCCGCGCCGCCCTCGCCTCCTCCCCCTCCTCCTCCTCCTCGCCCTCTCCCTCTCCCTCGCCGCCGCCTCCGCCTTCCAGTCCGACGAGCTGCTCCTCCACGACGACGACGAGTTCGAGGGCGCGGGCGCCCGCCCCACGCCAGGGCCGCCCGCGCCCGCGGCGGCGGCGGTCTCCTCCTCCCGCCGGCGGCCCGGGGACAGCAGCGCGGCGGCGGCGGAGTCCAGCGCCGTGCAGTTCTCGCTCGAGCACGACCTCGGCGCCGGGTTCGTCCCCGCGGGGTCCTTCTCCGCCCGCCTCAAGTCCTCCGCGCACGGCTCCCAGGTCCGCGCCTACGCCTCCGCCACTGCTCCGATCTCGTGCCGTGTGTCCCTCCTGATCTGCTTTGCTTGGCCTTTGGCCGCTGGATCCCTGATCCAGTGATACGTTTCGTTTGATAGCGAGCATATGCTGCTGGTCTGGATCGTGGTTGCGGCTTGATTAGCTGCGGATTCTCGTGTGCGCCGTGCTCCGATTACTTGTGTCTGGTGGTCCTTTTTTTTTGGGAAGGGTGGTGAATTTGTGGGTTATTACTGATTGATAGGAAGCTGAATTGCAGATCGGATCTAGTGATGATGGTGGTTGTTATATTGTCCATGTAACTAGATGACACACTGCACGTTACTGCGGGATATGCTAGTGTGCGTGTTGCAGTTGCCAAATTGCATATTTGGGTCAAAATTCAATTATTCAAAAGTCGTAAATCGCATTAAGTAACTAGTCCAATAGCGAAAAAGGAACTCATGTAGGCTAGAACGATTATGAAATAATCTGAACCATCAAAGCACCATCCAAAGGGTATTAAAATTCAGTGATGACACAACTTCTTTTGGTGGCTTCTTTATAGTAAGAACTACACTTAAGTGGGTTCCAGTCATGTATGGATTTGAAGGTATGTGTGGAGTAAGGGGTGAAAGGGAGTTAAATGAAGGTTGTATGCGGCAAATCTCAACACGGATACTTGTCAATAAGATTTAAAAATTATTTCTGTCATCCAAAATCCAAATAATAGTATGACTAAAACATCTGGTACATAACATGGAAAGTAAACATATGCTATTCAACTCAACCAATTTTTTTTTTGATGGTGTATGCCTCAAGTTTTACAATTTAGGTGGTAACTCATTCTATGCTCTTTCTTTGACTACATGATATATTACTATATTTCTAATTAAACTGTTGATGAATTGGTACAGACTCTCACTAAGCTTCGGTTCACAAGGAACGAGTTGACTGGTGATGAAAAGGATGCATTTAAAGTAATTTCTTGTCCTCTGTTCCTTCTCCTTCTCCTTTTGTTTTTTGTATTTTTATTTTTATTTTTTTATCAACTCATATTATTTTGCATTTATTGTTCTTTGTAGAAATTGCTGGATGAAGATGGTTTTTATTCAATTAGGTTGCTGTCTAATGTGTTGGATCCTGCAAGAAAAGACTATGTTGTTTCCTCAATCAAAGCTGTAAGCTAACTAAATAGTTCTTCACATTGTCCACCCTTTCCCTTATTGTTACTGCACCCACTGGTCACAAATACTTGCCGTTTCAGACTTACTTTTGGCCAAAGTTTTGAAACCTTGAGCATCTAATCTTTTTAAATATTTAGATTGGATATAACCTTGTTTGTACATTCATCTTGAATATGACCTTTTCGTAATATTAAATATTTTCTGAGTTTTACAAAGATATTCTGAAAGATAAATTAGCAAACATCACTATGTCTGTGTCATTTTCCAAAATGATATGCATCTATGACCGGAAGGAGAAACATGAGTCGCATGATCAGTTCAATGTCTACTTATTTAATTCGTATCTTAAGTTTTTAACAATTAAGATCTGTTTTGGCTTAACCTTTGTACTTACGGAATGAAACACGATTGCACATTTTTATTGGAACAAAATAAACTTCTATCATTATTAAAGTTAGCTAGAATCAACTGCCACTGTAAAATGTGTATCGTACCAAAACTGCATAAGCCTTTTTTTTCCAGTACTGGGATTATTATGTAATTCTGAATTGTGTTTCTAGTTCCTTAACTGCCTACCATTTCTTTATGTTTTTCAGAGATGCATACCACGTGAAAGTTTGGATGAACATATTGTTATCCACATGGTAATTTTCTCCATTTCTGCCATATATGCTTATCCAGAGCTGATTATTTTGCGATGATGGATTTGATTGGTGTGGATGCTTTTCAATTGTTTTCTACTGCTAGTGTCATGGGCATTGGGCCAGGAGGCCTAGGCCATGACCAGGCCAAGGTGGGAGGCGCCCTTAGGTAGGTTACGTATGTCAAGGGGTGGATTAGATTGGATTGTTAGGTGTGCTAGTGATGTCACCTGGGACAGATGTGCTGGCTAGGGAGTTGTATCAGTGCTAGATAGACGTGCTGAATGTGATGTGCAAGGGGGTATTTTTGTACTTATGTACAAAGGTTCTGGCGGCAGACAGGCCAGTTAACGGTGCATGAATGGTGATGATATGAAGGGAGGGAAATTGTTTGTACAATAGCATATTGTAAAATTGGTCTTCGTTGATGGCATATCGTACAACTAGGTCTTTGTGAATAGCAGATCATAGAACTTCGCTCTCCTTTTTTAATGGAATAGCTCTGGAGTAGTTATACATGAATATCAATAGAAATTCTGCATTTGTTATTAACTTGTATTAAAGCGCTTTGCTGATTATTTGTATGCAGGATGGTGTAAATATTTTAGCAGTTAATTATGGTTCTGTTGGCGGGTGCACATATCCCCGTCCAGTGAAAATGGTAAGTTACCTTGTCTTGAAATCATATTTATGGGTGTTATATCACTTATATGTAATTAATAAATCATAGCAAGAAATTGTACATCTGTAATTTGCAACCTTTAAATTCTCAGCAATAAGGCATTTTTATACATTCTAAACAGAACTAATATCTTATTCTTGATTACATGTGGCATTTCATTTGTACAACACAACAAAGTATAATCTAGATATGGAAGTACTATCAAGGCAAAATGATATATGTACTAATTATTTGTAACTAACTAGAGATCTTTGTTAATGAGCTTGCAGAAACCTTAAATGCAAAACAGTTAATGCTGTGAGTGTGACATCTAATTTTATCTTTCACCAAATTTTGGATATTTAGAATAATGGCCAGAATGGTTCCCTATAACCATTTCCTCCCATCTTTATGTTTGTTCATTATTGAATAACACAATCTCAATGTTCAAGAAGGCGCTTGACGGTAGATGGTCAGTAGGGGTAGCCTCACCAGGGTGGTGTTAGACCAACTTGGTCCGGGACTTTTGAGCAATTAGCAAGCGTATGATATAGAAAAGAAAGACAATACAATAGCAATATAACAGCACTAGAGTCCCCAATGCAGGGCAGCCACCTAATTCACCATCAAATGCCAAATTGCATCGGCTACCTGGTGCCTAGTGATATAAATAGGCAGAGTGCCCAGTGCCAACTTTTAGAACATTGTACATGGTTATATTTACCCCTTCTTTCTTGTTTCAGCCATCAAAGTGGGTATTCAATTCATACACTGTTCTGAAGACTTCTGAACAAGCACCAAGGTAAAATCACCACTTTTTTTTGTTTAAGACAACTGTAAATAAATACTGCATTCTGAAGAACTTTTGTTTGTGTAAGAATATTGTTGCAAATTATCAAGTAGAACAAGTATTTTGATACTATAATATGCTAACAAAGTTGTGCACCTGCAGAACTCCATCATTTGTAGATCAGTTAATAGAAGCCGAAAATGGTCTTGGTGAAGTGGTGAAATCACCTGAGAAGTCTTTCTGGGCTAAATATGTAAGTAACAGTTGTAAATATCTTCGAAAGTTGTTTCTTGTCCCTTTTAATCTGACTATTGCCTCCTGCTTTTCAGTGGATGTACATCATTCCTCTTGGTCTCATTGTCATGAATGCTGTCACGGCAGCAGCGAACATGCCGGAGGAGCAAGCTGGAGGGCAGGGCCAACCTGGAGCTCAAAGGGCACCAAATGCTGCTCCAAGGAGAAGATGATATCTGTGCTGCCTATTTGGTTTCTATCTCGCTTGTAGTAATACGCAGTTGTATCATAGCAGTACTTGGTCTGCTTAGATCCAAAGGCAATTTGCTAGCTGGTTTTACTATCTACAGAACTTTTAGCATTTAGCAACCAGTTGACAGAGTACAATCAATGTGCAGTGCAAAAGCTCTATTATCAGCTGTCCATTCTAAGTCAGTTCCTGAGAGTTTACTGCATCCTTAGCTTATCAGGTCCTAAGAACTTACTTTTGTTTTCCGCTTTTCCACACTTGTCTTTTGTACCGGCAATTTACTGCCCGATTTTATACTCGTAAACATGTTACAATATTTCAGTGAAGACATCACTGGTAATGGCAACATACAATTTCACACAGAAGCTGGTCAGCAATGTGCGGTGCAAAAGCTCTTCGTCAGCTGTGCATTCTAGGTGTCGCTTCCTGAAATTAAGGGACTGTTTAGATTGTTGCCATTTCAAATTATATCATTTTTGGTAAAATTGTCAAAGATATGCATACATTTAGGTTGTTTTGCTAAACTTTGGTAAATACATAAGAAATTATGCCAAAATTTTGGTAATAAAATATGGTAAGGTTTATTTTGGCTACAATCTAAACTACTCCTAAGTGCATTCTTATCTTTCTCACCACACTTGTGTTGTACAGGCCATTTATTGTCTGATCTTACAGTAAAAAATGGTACCAAAGTTTCCACTTGAAAGATTTTCTCCTTTCCAAAATGCTAATATGTTTCTAAAAAAAAAAGCTAATATGACCCTGTTGACAGAAAACTATTTGAATTCCAGATTCACAGAATGCACAGGGACGAACTTTGCTTCCTCCTTTCAAGGTAGGAGCTTACCTGGTTACATTGGATGATGGACTCCCATTTTCACAAATTTCGTTGGGACCGCTCCTACGGCAGAATCGTCAATGGGTGAAAACTTCTCTTTAACACGTGAAACGGAGTGATAGATTAATGGGTGTTGTTAACCTTCCCTTCGGCACGTGAAGCGGAGCGATAGATTAATGCACGATTAATTAAAAAACTTAAAAAAATATATATTAATATGATTTTATAAAAAACAATTTTTCTATAGAATTTTTTTTTTAAAAATGTATTGTTTATCAGTTTGGGAGGTATACTTGTGAAAAACGAAAGAGTTGAAGTTAGAAAGAGGAAGTGAAAAACACAATCAGAGAGGTGCCATCAGAAGACCACGGTTACTGGTCACAGAAACTCGTAACAAAAACTCGGAGAGGGGCAAAGTGTACGTCTTGTCATCAACCTCTTGCTTAATTCATCATTGGTATTGCATTCTGGATGTTTTATTCGTAAACCCCACGTTTTGAACATGCGTGTACGCGTACCATCCGCTTCTACCTCCTCTGCATCGCTTGCCGTTGAAACCCCAAGCCTTCAGTATGGCATCATAGATCTAAATTTATTTGTCTACTCCCTCTGTTTGCGTTTACTTGGCAATTTTGACTTTTGTTCTAATTTTGACCACAAATAATTTAGAAACATTTAGGCCAGAATGGATGAAAGTTTCATGTTTATGTTTTGCATGCTACTACAAATCTACCAAGTGTTGTTGACTGTATGAACTGTTCCCGGATAGTAAGAGTATCATTTCAATGGAATTCTTCCAATCATCTAACGAAAATATACGAGGAACGCGAAAAAAGAAATTGTAGAAACAATGCACACCGATTGTCAAAGCTATCAGAAGCAAGCAAGCCGCATTAACAAACGGAACATCATGTCACTGCCGAAAAGTAACATCATGTCACTGCCGAAAAGTGTGTTGTGTGTGTGTGTATATATAATTCACAGCTCATGAGACTTTCGTCACTTGTCAAGACAACAATTCCGAGAGCTGCACGTACAAAAATATATCCAGGAAAATTTCCAACAAGGCGCTCTAGCAAGAATTAGCCTCAACTGCATGCATGCTTTGATGGACCAGCTTCCAATTCTTCAGAAGATGTAGTCAGGCGGGTGCAGAGGGAAAGGAGCTATGTCGGCAATAAAAGGGCTTCCTCTAGGCTGACCACACCTATAAGAACGGATACCAGCATCAAATCACATCACATACACACCCTTCGTCTCATAAAAAAACAACTTCTGGGTTCGAATCTGGACATAGAAGTTGATTTTCTATGGGATGGAGGGAGTATGGAAGAACAAACGATTGCATACAACAGATACAACAGAATGTAGCTAGCTATAACCAAATAGCCAACAAAAAAAAATTAGCAGTAAATTGACATGCTTAAGAAAAAACAGACAAGAAATATCTTCGTAGAATTCAGGATTACCTCCAAGGGACAAGCGTCAAGTTGCCCATCACGGATCCAGGCTCCAGTGCTGCCGATATGGAACACCCATAGACAAACAGCTCCTCGCCGCACCTCAGGAGAGGACACTATACACAAAAAGCCCAGCAAGCATGTCAATGTAATGAACACCCACAAATGTACATTTTGTCTGGATACAGGTACTCATCCTCTCTCTCTCTCTCTCTCTCTCTCTCTCTCTCTCTCTCTCTCTCTCTTCTAACATACCTTGCCATGGCCGCCATAGTTGCATGTGTAAGGGAGGACTTCATCTCCAATCTGAATAGTGTAGTGGCATGACTGAAGCTGGAAGGAAGAATACCACTTGCCATCTACAACGAATGCTTCAGGAAGGGATAGACGAATGGAGAAATAGTACGAATATCTGCATCGGTAATCAGCGAAAGCAGAGTTTTCTGGGGCAAAGACAGCAGAGGCACGAACCTGCAAATACAATTACTGTTTATACCAAAATATTATTTGCTTCTAGTTCATGGTTCATTGGTCAAGTCACAAAAAGTCTTAGTTCTGTCAAGAAGTTGTATAGGTCATATAGATGTTGGCTCATTATGAATGTCTATGTTTCATCCTTTCGCAGTTATGGATATAACCAACACAAGCATGCAAAAACACATTTTCCTTACTAGATATTAGTTAGGTATGCATCAACTAATACCTGCTTCTAGCATCCGAATATATTCCCAAAAGACATAAACAACAGGGATGTAAAATTTTGCTTGCAAGATCCATTTATTAACATATGTAATTTAGCGCTAAATGAAATGTTTTATCGCAAATAACTTTGCAGCTGGGCACTCGAAGACAGGACATGAATAGCTAGTTTATGCACCTCTCAATGCCATCTCATGTAATATATACGTACTCCATGATAAGCTAACTTGTTAAACTTGTTTGTAGTACTACTATTTTGTTGAACTGCATTGCCACATGCCATCTTTCGGGCGATTTAAACTAGTGGAAGTGAGCTATCTGATTGGTCATCCATGTCTTGCTTGTGAATGCATAAGTGCAGCTGTCTGTGAGGTCTTTTGTTATGTGGAAATGCATGTAGTTTCCATTCAAGTTGTGAAGCATTAAATCATAAACGTGCTGCCACTGGCAGGTGATATAGTTCCCCAGTGTCACTTTGCTGAGTGTATCCATCATGACTATGACCCGCCATGTTGCCGTTCTCTCCCGTCTATCAGTTCTTTATTATCACATCACAATAAACGACAATTCACTTGTCTCTATTTATTTTCAGACCTCAGACATAGTCCAAAGGGTACGATTAACATATCATTGCTACTCACTTTCCTTTTCACACAGATCATGCACTCTAGTTGCATGTTGCCATGAGCAGCAAAGTAGGTGTGAGGATCAGCTCTGCTTGCCACATGCTTTGCTTAATGGCAATAGCAACTGGGTCTGCTGCATTTTGAGAAAATTTTCCCATGAAAGCTTTCAAGACTCGACTGAAAATTTCCTATGTTTTACTATGAAACTTTTGGTTTTGGACTAGAAATTCTAACGTTAAAGTTCACTACTTATGCTTTCAGATTGAAACTTGCCTAATGTTTTTTTTTCGAAATTTTGTTTGTGGCAAAGCATGTTTGATATTATAGATTTATTATATAGTAAGAGTCAATAGGTAAGTCAGGGAAACTAGATATTGCGGATAAGAAGAGTCTATGTGCAGGATGCTTATGCCAGCCAGCAGAACTTCCTCTGCCAGCATGCGCACTGTTGTGCTCATCTTGTAAGCAGCAGAGATAAGCAGAGAGGTAACAACTGTGAGCAAGGATAGAATTAGCCACAGCGGATATAAAGAAGAAGATGATTTAAGATTTGAAGACTGCAATACTTGTTCTCGTGGAATGCTCTGTCACCCAAACATGTAGACAAGCAAAAACACCGCAAGTCAGATGATATCTAAGGGGCAATGGTATTGAGGGTGTAAGCTCCCTACTCTTGACAGTTAAAGGAGGTCCAACAGACTATTTTGTTTGTAGTTACACGTTGTAGCCAATATTCAAACAACAGTTGAAGAGTATAGATGGACTGATTCCCAAAACAGTTGAAGACTATTTTGTTTGTTTTGTGATTTTTGGATTGTTTCATGTCAGTATGGAAGTGGTAGTATCTCCTAATTGGAGCTATGGTTATATTGGTGCATCAGCATAATACATGAAAACATCAGTTGAATCAAGACAAATCTTTTGTAGCTATGCCTGCGATGTTATTTTACTCTATTAGAGCTAAACCAAGTATTACACCAGAGATATTTTAAAATTAATGCATGGACAACAGTTGGATAACGAGCTCTGCACTCAGTACCAGCCAAACTTTTAGATTTCAAAATGCTTTTATGGGAGAAGAACAGGGGTCAGAGCCCCCATCATCATACATCGATGACGCTCATCATTAAACATAAAACAGCAAAATCTAATCTTTAAATATAAAACAGCAAAAAAACTTTCAGTAGGCTAGCTATGTGCTTCAAAATAGATTCAATTACCCTCGCAATGCAATCAGCATATTAAGCATGGCAATAAACTAACAGAAAAGCCAATTTACTAACCTTGATACCATGCATACTTGCCGACGAACAGTAAGGGAGTTGTACTGGATACAAACTGATATGCCTTGCCAGCATTGGGAATTTACAACTCTGCACCTTGATCAAGCCATCCTGTAGGCGACTAAGGTGCTCTTCCAACCACAGCAGAAATCCATCTTGAGGCATGCCATGATCATCATCCACAGCGAGCCTTATTGTCGCTTTTGGCACGCATGCCATGATTTCTCTTTCTTCATTCCAATACTTGGTGCCGACATAAAGACGGCCACTCGCACAATCAAGAAGAAATATCTTCTCCCCAAAACAACTCGTCGCAACTACAATGTAGTTTGAGTTTTTCTGAACAGCATGGTGCGCGAGCGGTAGCAAGCGCACGGTATACCTCTGGTGAACATAATCATAGCCTCCCATAACGCCGTACGAGACCTCCTCGCCGCGGCCAATGTGCAGCTGGCCGTTGCAGAAACGGTACAGTAGCTTAGTGGGCATAGGAAGCACAAGGCCCAGGTTACATTCCGCGACGGCTATCTCGGCTTCCGAAACGCCTTCCCCTAGAGTCCTCAGCCCTTCCGGGAAATACTCGCATAGCCATGCCCTGAATGAGCTCCAGAAGATCTTCACCCTCTTAACAAGTGGCAAAGGGTACATCCCAAAAGATTGGAACCAAGCTTTGTAAGCATCCTGCACAACCGATCAATCAAATTATTATCCTTCTTGACAAAATTAAGCACTGTTGGAGAAATCATAAAAACAAGTGAGTTAGTCTAAACCTTTAGATCCGATTAAATTCCTCATGAACTTGTTATATCTACTAAGAAGGCGAGGAGGCGGGGGGAGAGGAAGAACCTTGAAGGAAGGGAGAGGGAGGTCGCCGGGAGCGAGGGGGGCGTCGAGGGCGAAGTCGTCGGAGCAGAAGTGGCGCCAGAGGGCCTCGCCGGAGGCGGCGGCGCGGAGGGTGGAGCTGGCGCAGGCGAGCGCGGCGGCGCAGCGGGGGCCGGCCTTGGCGATGATGATCGCGAGCGGGAGCGCGGGGAGGGTCTCCAGCACCGAGGCCCCCTCCGGCCGCCGCTGCGCCTTCGCCGGCGACGCCATCGGCCGCCGGTGGGTTTTCTTCTACGAGGGTTTTCGCAGTCTTTCTTTTTTTCCCCTTCTTCCTCTTTTCTTTTTTTTTCTACCTTTCTACAGCTTTAATCTGATCTTATCTTAAACTAACCTCTAGTGACACTTCACCTAAACAAAAAAAGGAAAGAAAGAGAGAAAATCTCTAGCGACACTCCAAGGCTCCAAGCCCATTCCTAATCATACGAGTCCATTAAGCATGTGTTTGGTATGATAAAACAAGCCATTCTTTTTTGTGTGTGTTTGGTTCATAGGATGGGTCCATCCTAACAGGAGATATGTGAGATATCGGTACCCATGGTGATAGCATCAGCGCGACAGGCAGGCGTCTCCTCCCTAATTCCTGTCACGCCAATGACAGAAGAGGAAGGAAAAATCACACGGTTTAAATTTTATAAAATTTCAGTAGCACTTAGTCGATATTGCGAATACTAATGATAGTTTTTGAATTGAGAAAATTTGCAATGGAATATATCCAGTTAACACTTGGCATGGAGGATGGATGGGATGGACGAAGTTTGTATCTCCATCCAGTTCTCATGGCATGTTTAAGGGTGTGAGTTGAGGGAGAAGCGATCGGCGGGCGTAAGAGCTCGACGGCGACCATATGCATCATATGGACGGAGGATGGGTGGAAAAGTAGCTAGCGGACGGGCGGAGAAGCAGCGACGTCCGACATGAGGCTTGAGATGGACCTCCATGGTGACCATGGCATCTGATGGGCGGAGGAGCAGTGGACGGGCAGAAAAGAGGCGGCATTCGATAGGAGGCTCGTGGGCGAGCTCGGCAGACCATGAGCAGCGTATGGGCGGAGGAGCAGCAGACGGGCGGAGAAGCGGTGGCGACCGACGGGAGGCTTATAGGTGAGGTTGGAGGCTACCACGGGTAGTAGATAGGCAAACGACGGGCGAAGAAGCTATGGTGTCCAGTGAGGGGATTGCGGAGTTGCAGCTGTGATTGGCGAGAGAGGCTCGCGATGGTGCTTGGCGGCGACCACGGGAGGAGCAACAAATGACCGTCCTCAAATCATGTGGCCATCCTAGGTGGGTTGAGATTTGGGAGACAACTTGGACATGTATCTGAGTGGAATATTCATCTAAAGGGTTCATCACATCCCACTCATTCCCAAACCAAACACCCAGAAAAACGGGTTCAACCCAACCTGACCCATTCCATCCCTCCAACTAAAAACATACAAACACTCATGATCTATTCCAATTCTCATGATATTATGAGCATCCATAATATAATCATCAAAAGGGATGCTAAGGCTTTAAAGTAGACCTTATACACGATGGAAGTAGCCTTTATAGGTGTTCTTATGATGAGCTAGCCATGCATAAGAGCCATTAGCAAGAATAAAAAAAAAATTCCATCACTATTTCCTCACCCATGGTACTGCTAACCTCTCTCCGGATTCAGTTGCTTGCAGCCATGGATGGAAAAGTGGCCCACTGCCGCTGTCGGATGCACCCACGAGCACTACCATAGCCACCCATGATAAGCAATCCAATGCATATCTTGATTTGGATCAACTGTAGATGTGCTAGGTCCATCAGTTTTGATTGTCTGATATGGTGGAAACAGATTGTTTGGGAAATAAACAGGCCCCTAGCTTTTTCCTCAGCTAGAGTTCCATCTACCACTTTCTTGGTCATACTGGTCAATGTATTAACCAATACTCCAGATTAGTTTATCAAAGCATGATGAACTACAGAATCGATCCTATCTTGCATAGTCATAAGATGAAGCACTTATTTGGTTTCTTGATTATTTGTTTCCTCTTTCTTGCTACTTGTTTCCCCTTCAGGCTTTGGCATGATAATTTTGCTTCTTTGAATTACCGTTCCTTGCCGCGTGATACTAAAGGTTTCCGGATACATTTTCTGAAACTCCTGAATGAGTTGCTCCATCTGTGCCCTCTGCTCATTAGATAGTTTGTCAACTGTGATTGGGATGATGTTTTCATGAGTGATGTCTGACATTGTGTAAAATCTTAGGTCTCACCAGGCGTACCAAAAGCGTGTTGATGCAAAATCATAGTGGCTTGGAAGATCTGATTAACTTCAGTGCAAGTCCAAATCTTCGGGTTCTAAGGCGTGTCAGTTGGTTTGATCTTACAACCAATAAGATAGATGATAACAAAAGTTAGTAATGATAGCCGATCGACCAGTAGGCTGATGTTGTATCGTAAAAGCTGATGCATGAATGAATCGGCTATAATTAATAAGACAATATTCATAAAGCATTTTTAGGTAAAATTTAATTATAAACAATTTTTCCTTAACAAAACCAATTCTATTGTTCTAACCCAATCGATGCAGCATAAGATTGATAATATTAAAGTCAACTGTTATACAATTATATAACCTAAATAACTAGTCAATGAACACAAGATTGAAGATTAAGTTTAGAGTAACCACGATCAGCTGTAGAAATAAAAATCATGCAAATACCAAATCAGTCTTCCTCTTAGATACAAGCAATCAGGATAGATCAGACCTAACTGAGACAATATAGATTGCTTATAACCAAGATCAAATCAATTAGTAATTATATGGATTTATATCGTAGCTGATGAAGTAACTAAGAGTTTAAGATAATATATTGGCTATAGCTCCAATACAACCTTATACAGAAGTGTCAAGTTGTAGTTAAATCTATTAAACAAGTTATAATATTCCTTGCAGATCGAACATAACCGAAATAGTGGCAAATTAATAACAAGCTCAGTAGATTTAAAGGCTTGGTATATTCGTATAAGATAATAGATATAACATATTAAGTAAAAGATATGCAACATTTATATCGGATAAGATCGGCTGAAACTCCGATACTACCCTTATTGACAAACAAAGAGCAAGTTTCTTACAATTCTGATTATAACTTAGTAGGTCAGACTTAAGTGATGCAACACCAAGCTATGATTGGAGTTGTAAGGTCTAAACAAACCTTTGATTGTTTTTCAGGTTGGTTGATACACTGAGCAATCTAAACCAACAAGAGCGATTTAGGCGATAGCAGCTTGTCCTAAGTTGAACTAGCCAATATGGGTAAATGGCACTGTTCGAGTTAGATTAAATAGAGTATAAATTAGCACTTGTATCGACCGATTTAGAGTGTCGAACTTAACCAATGGAAGCTCTAGCCCCGCCAATACAAGCAACTATTTTGATGGAACTCACCTATTGTCGGAGATCAAACTAAATCGATGTAGCCTAACTCGAAGACAAGAACTCATCGAGAAAAAACATAGAGAACTAGGGTGGCGATGCGCCGAAAAGTGATTATTGAACTGTTGTTGTTTACATAGACTCTGGGTGTACATATTTATACCCATGGGTGAGAAATTAGTCTTTATCGAACACGACGCAAAGTTCCCTAAAGCAAGAAAAAAAAAGCTCAATCGGACTACGAAACAAACTTTCCTAAAACATAAAAGGTACATAGTTGACTTATCCTAATAGATAAATTGTTTTGCCGTATTTCTTTCAAACTCGGTCTTTCCTGCAACATTACCACCATCTTCTTTAGAACCAAATCTGACAAGGAATAGATCTCCAGCTATCATCCATCCTCCATCGGCTAACTCTATAATCTTGCAGCCGATGCGCATGATCCGATACAGCCTTTCTAGCCTTAGCCGATGCAATCTTTGATCTCAAAATCACGTCGTTGACTTCGCTCCATATTTTCCTTACTTAACGGAATATAGAAAAGTTTGCAGTTAACAGTACCTAAAACTTGATTAAAAGCCACCCCTTGAAGTTGTACCTTGTTCCTTGTTGCCCTAGTTATATATTTATCGATGGTCATTTATTGACACTACTTAGTCATGCTTAATAGACAATCGCATATTCATACTCATGGGGTACAATGATTATGGATATGGAAGGATAAGATTGCACAATGTTGGGTGATTATCAATGTGTAGATGGAGTCATGAGTTCCACTCCACATTACACACCTAAAACCATATATGAAAACCAAAAGCTTAACAAATGAAACTAAGTTTCGCGAGGGCAGCATGGTTTGAATTTGGTTGGTTTTATGAAAAGGCTAGCACTGACCCTAGTTAATTAAGTACCGAGTTAAGAAGGGAGGCAAGGAACGAACAAAGTATGGCCGCATTTCTCGAATGGGTACAGACCCGACGTATTAGGTAACCCAAGTGGGGTGTCACCCTAGTAACGGTTGGTTTTGCAGTTGAAGTGAACGTTGTTGTGAACACAGTGTGGTATCGAAATGATTAAAGGCCTAGGTAACACTAGTTTCTAGGACTCCTCTCACCACTAGATCGAGGTAGGGATGGGTGCTTGGGGTGCATGTGGGTTATAGTCCTTGGAGCAGGTGTCATAATACGAGGGAAACCAAAATGCCGAACCGTGACAAGTCTCATGTGTTGGGTGTGTCACGGAGTGTGGGTACAGTGCGCATCCACTGTAGCATGAGTAAAACAAATATATTCGAATAGTTATGCTAGCAGTTAAAGGAGCGCCATGACTTGTACTACCCTTGACTAGCCTCAGAAGTTTTCATCATGCTTATAGTAGGTTTTAGGGAGATTATGTTGACTATGTCGACCTACGGTAGGGGCAGAATTGGTGAAAATATGGTAAATTGGACGCGAGGAAAAACTGAACCAAGAGGATGCTTGTGATATGGATGCAACTCTCTTTGATGAGTAACATCTTGAACTTAACTTTGTTTTCAGATAAAACTACTAAGTCATAGGTTTGTGAGCTGATTTGAGAAAGTTATCTTTATGCAAATAAAACCAAGCCATCCTTGAAACCCTTTTGTGCACTAATGCATCTTGTAGTGGTGACTTGCTGAATACGGTTGATACCCACCCTTGCTTATTTTACTCTTTTAGAGGGAGAAGAGCGGGTTAGAAGAGAAGACCTTGCTAGTGTGTTCGCATGCTTAGCAGGATGAACATAGTGCTAGTTGATACTATGTCATCGTGATCCTAGTCAATTGCTTGTGGGCATGTTGCTTGCGTCTACCACTAATTTGGATTTCCGTTGTTGTTTATCTCATAAGACGTGGCTATTAAA